CCCCGCCCTGGGCCGCCTCCCTGCAGCCCGGAGTGGCCGCCTCAGGTCGGAAACAGCAGCACATTTGCGGATCGCATTAGGCCAGGCCCTTAATGCTTTCTCCAGATGGAGAGAAGCCACCGACCCGCCCCCGGACACCGGCTCCGCCAAGGCGCCCGCGAGGCGAAGCGAGAGTGGAGTGTGACCTCGGCTTTTCCAGTCTGGACTCAGATGGATTTCCCTATAAATTGACAGGAAAACTAAAAAAACTAAAATAAATAAATAAAAATAAACCCTCCGTTGCCCTCCTGGTCTCAGCCAACCTGTGCTGGTTCATCTTCCCGAGGCTGGCCCAGGGGCTGTCCCCTCCAGACCTCAACTTCGCTGTCACACACCTCTCTGGCTGCAGGTCCAGGACCTGAGCGTGTGTGGCATTATTTACTGGGGGAAATCCTTCAGAGAAGACCTGCACTCCAACCCTAGAATGTCTATCTTGATGTGTGACCTGAGGCAGGTCCTTTCCCTCTCTGGGCTGACTTCGTTGGAATCAGACTCATTTTTGCCTCAAGTGGCAGATGTTGGCAGGTGCCCTAACGCCTGGCTCTGTGCTGGCTTTCCCAGTAGCATGTCAGTAGCCACACCCTGCTGCTGACAGATGGGCTGGGAGGTGGTGGGTGCAGGGATGGCTCAGCTTCTGGAGGGCTAGAGGTATGAGTTGCTTACTAAAGGCAAGCCCACCCCCCTTCTGGCCTTGGTGAAGACACCTCCTAAAGACAGACCCAGATTGCCTGCAGCCTACTGGAGGCAGCCCATCTGGGACCTCCCCAAACTTTTCCAAGAAGTTGCCTGAACTTCAGGGTGCCTTCCTCTGGTCTCTTAGTCGCAGATACTGTCAGCCTGGCGGGCCTGGTTGGAAACCAACTCTTTCCTCTTCCGCAGGCTGCAAGGGAGACCCCCCAGGCGACTGGACCCCATGGCTCCCTGGAAGACACCCTGGCTGCTGCGTATGTGGATGGTCTTCATGTGTGCTACCCTCCTGCAGGTAACAGGAAGAGGAGGAGGGACGGTGGGCATCCCTCTGTATATTGGGGAGCATTATCTGAGACCACCTGAGATGACTCGTCTTAATCCTACACCAGGGAACCTAACTTTCTCACATCTAGCCAATGGAATTTCTCGTTGGCTTCACCATGGGGAATCCCTTGAGTCCAAATCCCTTGAGTCCTCTCTGAATTCTGAGTGGGGCCTTGGTATTGTTGTGGATACCACACACCAGTGGTGACCTGGGTCTTTGAACACAGGCCATTCTGCAGGTGTCCAGTTGGGGTGGGGGCTACAGGCCTGGACACAGTGAAATGGGCAGAGCCAGGTTCTGGCCCTGGCAGAGCTATTAAGTAAATATTCCGAGTGTCCTTCTGTTACCACTTAGCCTTCTGTTTGTAGTTCTCTCTTTAGACCCCCGTCTTTCCTAACCGGCCTGGGAAGATTCAGCTCAGGCACTGCACCTTATTTATTGGTGGGGCGTACTCAGATGAGTGAGGCTAGCCTTGCCCGACAGACAGGAGGGAGTGGTGGAGACAGTGGTGAGGTGAACAACACGTGTTCCATTTATCGACAGCCTCTGCCTAACTCCAGCCGATCCTTGCAGAGTGGGGAGGCACGCTTGGCATTGCCAGATCTTTTCAAGATAGCCGGGCCATCGAGATCCCTTAGAAAATAAAATCTCTCTGTTTGGAAAGCACTGAGAGCCAGACAAATAAGTTGCAAACTGCGTTCAGCTGAATAGATTGCAGCCCCAGATCTAGAGGTGCAGAGCTCAACCTCACCAGGATTGTGTCCGGAAGGCTGCTGCCAGCTCCAGACAGTTAAGTATTTGGTGTGAATTTGAACAAGGCAGCCCCTCTTGCAGCTGTGTCTTCTTAGGCCCGTAGTTTGTTCACCTGTGCACCCTCAAGGTCTAGCAAGGGGCTGACACTTAAGGGTTTAAATGTCTGTTACATAAGCAGGTGTGCCTGAATGAAGACGTTACTCTGGGATAACTTAATTAAACTGTTCTGTTTCTCTTTTCACTGTCCTGAACTTAGCGTCTCTAAGGCCTCTTGCAGCTCCAGTGCCCTATGAATTCTGTGATGCACACAGGATTGGTTAATAGAGAACATCTTCTCCCTCATTACCCCATCTTATTTATTTTTAAGGTTTTTCTTTTTTGTTTGTTTCCTTTTTTTTTTTTTTTTGGTCATAGGGTGTGTGCACTTGCTAGAGAGACAGTGAGAGGGAAAGTGAGAAATCATTCCTGACGGGGGATGGCCACACTGCAGTCTCTTCTCCTCCTGGGATTTTTGCCTAGCATGTTTCAAGCTGCTGGATCCGGGACTCAAACCACAGTTGACCATGTGGGAGTCTAGCACCTTAACTACCACACTACCTATCCCATCTTATTGATGCTACTCCACAATCACATTTAAAAAAAATAATTATTTTATTTAACTTTATTTATTTTAATTTGACCAGAGAGGGACAGAGAGAGAGAGAGAGAGAGAGAGAGAGAGAGAGAGAGCGCGTGAGCAAGTGAGAAGGCAAGCCACCAGGTCTGGGACTTGAACTGCAGTCGGACATGTGGGAGTCCAGCGCCTTGCTTGCCAGCCCCCCACAATCACATTTTAACAGATATCGTTTGTTAGAACAACAGTTTAGATATTCTCTGGGTGATTTTAGAGGTTGTCTGGCCAGAGAGGTGCAGACTTCGAGGGAGAGGGGGGAGGCCGGCTTTTGTGTCCCATCAGCGGATCTGAAACAGGCGACGAGGGCTTCAGAAATCTGTTCCCGGTCAAGTGGGGCTGAGGCTCCGAGGCGCAGCATTTTATTTTGCCTTCTTTCACCCTATAAAATTTAAATGTGCTCTGAGACAGTCTGTTGACCTTTGGCCAAGGGCAGTGTTTGCCCAGCTTGAATCACTCACTGACCTCTTTCAGATTTTTCCATATCTGTGTGCCTGTGGCAGAGATGTTTCCATGTACGAGGCCGTGTGCACAGAAGGTCATAAAAGGAGATTTCAGGCTCGAGGGCTCCATCCTCCACACCACCCACTGTGCCAGCCCCGGCTCCGCCATCATTTCTGTGTCGCACACACATCTCTGCATCACATCTCAGCTTCCACTTCTGTGGAGAGGAGGCAGTAATAGTATCTACCTCATCGGAGGGTTTGGCGGAGTCAGTCCATTGTGAAGTGGAAAAAGGACCAGTGCCTGGCACCCCTCTGCTGTGGCTGCTTGGTATTAAGGGTCTGGAGCAAGCGCGGTGCGTGTATTTTCTGCCGTGGAACTGTAGGGGGCACTCCAGAGGCATTAGCTGCGGAGAGAAGATACTGCAGAGGTTGGAAGGAGGTAGGGCCTTTTTTGCTTAGGGAAGGGATGTGTGTGGCCAGGGCAGGCTCCCTAATGGCCCTTAGTGAGTATTCTAGTAAGAGGTGGGTCAGTCCTGGGGCCTTGCCCATGGCTTGGACACTTTATCTCCCTAGATTGAGCTTGGGTTTGACTCAACGCTGCCCCTTGAGGCATCTTGAGATTTTGGTGTCAGGGCGAAGTTTAAGGTGATTTATAGCCCAGTGTCTTGCCTCACCTTGTAAGTGCTGCCACCACGTGGTTGGCAGAAAACACATATGCATGTGAGGCTCAGCTGTGGGATGGGTTAACTCATTAATAAAAACTGGATTTTCAAATTAAACCGATGACATGGTGAGTGAGGTGCTGGATCCCACCCAGCCGACTCCAGGGTTCAAAGTTTGGACCCACTAGCTTGAAAAGCATACCAGCCCATGTGCATGTGTGTCCAGAATCCTGAGAGGAGAATGGAGGAGAAGAGATTGCGGCGTGGCCATTCTCTCTGGGGGGTGATTTCTCACTTTCCTAGTCAGCCCCCATGCCCTATAGTAAAAACTAGAAAAAACATTTAACCAGCTAAACTTTAAGTTCTTACATTCACTGATCACAACTAATTGTGTCAGATGCAGAGGGAGGTCTGGATCTGGCAGTCCCCGTTTTTTCTAGCTAGCTTGGCCATTCCTGGAGGAGTGCACTGTTCCCCTCACCCAGACAGCTGCAAGGTCTCCCTTCTTCCTGTCTCACAGGCCCGGGAAGCTTCCTGTTGCTCTGGGTCCATTCCGCAGGGACCTTGACCTTCCCAGAGAAGACAGCAGCTGCCGTTCCAGCTCTCTCTTCCAGCTCGGAGTTTGGAAGAGCTTTTCATATTTTCTCCTGACTCTTTCTTTCTTTCTTTTCTTTTTCTTTTTTTTTTTTTTTTTGCCTTAAGATGTGCACACTAGCTGGAGAGAGAGAGACCGAGACAGGCAATGAGGAAGCAAAGTGAGAAATCATTCCCCGGGGGCATGGCCACACCACAGTCCCTTCTCCTCCATTCTCCTCCCAGGATCTTGGGCACACATGCACATGCACCTGGCATGAGTTTAAAGCCACCAGGTTCGGGACTCAAACCGTGGTCACCCATGTGGGAGTTCAGCGATGTAAGCGCTATGCCATCTGTTGGCCACTCCTCTGGCTCTTGAGGATGACTCTTTTTTTTTTTTTTTCTTTTTCTGTTTTTGGAGAGGTTTTTGCTATAGGGTGCATGCGCTCGCCAGAAAGACAGAGACAGAGAGACAGAAAGCGAGAAATCACTCCCCAGGGGGGATGGCCACGCCACAATCCCTTCTCCTCCATTCTCCTCTTGGGATCTTGGGCACGCACGCACATGCGCCTGGCGTGAGTTTAAGCCACCGGGTCTGGGACTCGAACCGTGGTCAATTACATGGGAGTCCAGCGACATAGCCATTATGCCAACTGCTAATCCCTTGAGGATGACTCTTGTGTTGACTGTTCCCCTATTTACAACTTGCCCCATTTCTTCTTGCCTAGAAGGAGAATAGACAACCTCTCGTGTTTACTAATTTAATATTCGTGCGGTAGCTTCCAAGCTCTCTGGCAAGTTCCTGTAGAAATCATTTTAGGGACCGGCAGATGGCATAATGGTTACGACGCTGGACTCCCACGTAGTTGAATGCAGTTTGAGTCCCAGACCCAGCAGCTTAAAACTCAGGATGGTCACCTGTGCCCCAAATCCTGAGAGACTGGAGGAGAAGGCATTGTGGCATAGCTAGCCCCTCTGGGGGCTGATTTCTTGCTTTCTGTCTCGCTGTCTCTCTCTGTCTCTCCAGCAAGCATATGTGCCTCAAAACAAAACAAAAAACAAAAACAAAACCCTCTAAAAAAATCATTTTAATCGTGGTTGCAACCTGCTATTATTATCTCTGAGCGATTGTATCAAAGTGGCTTCCTGAGTGTCCAAATGGCCGCCTGCCTGTTTTCTCTGGGGACGTGTTGACTGTACTTTGATTCCCTGGTAAGCCCTGTCCCCCACCTCCTGTGTCTTGGGGTGGGATGGCCTCTCCTGAAGGATGACTTCATCTTTGACTGCCCTCCTGCCAAGTTCATAGACATCTGTTGAAATAGCTCCTTCAAAGTAACAGTTTTGAAAAGCAGGAGACGTTTGGATGAAGAAGTCTGGGAGGCTGGTTGGAAGGGCTGTCTTAGAACTCTGTGGTGACATCCTGTGCGGGGAGAAGGACTTAGAGCATTTCCGAACACGACTTGTAAAGTAAGCGGCATCTGCGTTGGTTCAGGTCCTGCCCTGAGTCTCGTCAGGGATAAGCGTAAGACAGAGAGGTTTCATGTGTAGTTTCTGTCATGGAGGCTGGTCCTGCAGAGGGCTGGGGGGTCGGGCGGGCACAGAAGGCCAAGTGGTCTTGGGGAGATGCTCTTCCATCTCCTGTGGCCTCATTATAATGCAGATGGAGCTGCTGGCGGTGACTGTGGGGACAGGACATGGAGTGGGCTGAATAAGGGCCCCCACATATGTCCACATCCTAATCCTTGGATCCTGTACATTCTCCTTTCTGTGCAAAAGGACTTTGCCCATTTGGTTAAGAACCTTGAGATGGGCAGGTGGTCCTGGGTTACGCGGTCATAGCAGCCTTCATAAGAGGGATGC